CTATATTTACTTTTTAGTGTGACTGGATTATTTTATTTAGGCAAATGTCCTCAGGGATCATCCATGTTGTAGCATGTGACAGGATTTCCTACCTTTTTAGGGGTGAGTAATATTCCATTGTATATAAATACCACATTTTGTTTATTCGTCCATGTGTTGATGAACATTTGAATTGCTTCCACCTCTTGGCTGTTGTGGGTAGTGTTGCTGTGAACATGGGCATGCAAATATCTCTTCAAGAGCCTCCTTTCAATTCTTTTTCGTACATACCCAGAGGTGGGATAGTTGGACCATTTGGTAGTTCTTTTTTAATTTTTTTTGAGGAACTTCCAGACTCCTCCATAGAGGTTGCACCATTTTAAGGTTCCAGTTTCTCCACATCCTCAAAGACACTTTTGTTTTGTTTTTTTATAGTAGCCATTCCGATGGGGGTGTCATTATATCTCATTATGGTTTTGGTTTGCATGTCTCTGATGATTAGTGATGTTGAGTATCTTTTTATATGCTTATTGGTCATTTGTATATCATCTTTGGAAAAATGCCTATTCAAGTCCTTTGCTCACTTTTTAATAGAATTTGATTTTTTTTCTTCTTGAGTTTTAGGAGTTCCTATATATTCTGGATATTAACCCCTTATCAGTTACATGGTTTGTAAATATTTTCTTCCATTCTATACATTGCCTTTTCACTCTGTTGATTCTGTCCTTTGGTGCACAAAAGTTAAGTTTAATGTAGTCTCATTTATCTACTTTTGGTTTTGTTGCCTGTGCTTTGATGTTACATCCAACAAATCATTGCCAAGTTTAGTGTCTTGAAACTTTTACCCTTTGTTTTCTTCTAGGAGCTTTATACTTTCTGGGTCTTACATTTAGGTATTTACGCCATTTTGAATACATTTTTTATATGGTATAAGTAAGATAAGAGTGCAACTTTATTCTTTTGTGTGTAGATATCCCATTTACCCAGCACCATTTGTTGAAAAGATGGTTCTTTTTCCATGGACTAGTCTTGGCACCCTTGTTGAACATCATTTGACCATATATGTAAGGGTTTATTTGTGAGCTTTCTTTTTTATTGCATTGCCTATCTGTCTACTTTTATGCCAGTACCACACTATCTTGATTACTATAGCTTTAAGTGTGAGACCTCAAACTTGTTCTTTTTCAAAACTGTTTTGACTCTTTGAGGTCCCTTGAGATTTCAGTTGTAGGATCAAGTTTTCCATCTCTGCAAAAAATGCCATTGTGATTTTGATAAGAGATTAAATTAAGTGTGTAGATTACATCTTAACATTGGGATCTTCCCATGTATTGTGTATTAAGTCTTTCATCTTCTTGGTTAGGTTTATTCCTGGTATTTTATTCTTTCTGTTGTGATCATAAATGGAATATTTTTCTTAATTTTCTTTTCAGATTATTTATTGCTAGTGTATTAAAAAGCAGCTTATGTTTGTGTTTTGCTTTTTGTGTTCTGCAACTTTGCTAAATTTGTTTGCTAGTTTTCATTGGTTTTTCTGTGGTTTCTTTAGAGTTTTCTGCATAGAAGATCATGTCATCTGCAGATTATTTTATTTCTTCTTTTCAAGTTTGGATGTATTTTATTTCTTGCCCGAATGCTGTAGATTTTTTTTAAGTGAAAATAAAAATTGTATTTTTTAAAAAGGAATTGATGATACAGGTTCATGTAGGCCTTGAGAATTTTGGAATTAACTCTTTATTGAATGCAAAGGGAAACCATTTGAGGGTTTAAAGTAGGAGACAATCAAGTATTGCTTTAAAAATAAAACCAAAAAAACCACCTTGGGTCCTAGTGGGGATATGATGGAGAGAGTAAGAGGGAATGCAGAAGACTAGTAGAGTGCTACACAGTGATCTGATCAATGACTTGGACTGGGAGGAGGGCGAATGGTAAGAGTAGAGATGGAGAAAAGTGAATGGGATTGGGTATTTAGGAGTTAGAAGTGACAGAATCAAATGGTGGTTTGGACATATGGCTGAGAAGGACACAGGAGAGCAGTTTTAAGGCCAGTTCATTACTGGCTTGAGCACAACTAAGTGAACTGAGATAACATAGTGTGGTATAGAGATTTTTATAGGCAGAGTTTGAGGTGCTTATAAAACAGAGATGCTGCAAAGGAAAGTATGTGTGAATCTGGGCTTGGAAATACACCCAGTAACTAACTTGACTCCATGTTGGGGGCAATCCAGGACCTAATCTAAATTTTGGTGCATAGTACATGTTCAATTAATAGTTATGTAATGATTTCTCACAAAAATCAATTGATATTTTAATACATTTAATTACCTTTAATGTAGGAACTAAGATTTTCCTTTTTAGTATTATGTAAGTAGCATTTTATGGAAAGAAGGCCATTAGTTCTTCATCGAAGTAGCTGTCATTTGTTTATATTGACATTTTATGTCATTGAGCTCTCTTTAAAGGCCCGAATGTAGTAAATTCTGCTGTTCATAAGTCTGGCAAGCTCTAAAAGAGAGTCTTTGATGTGATATTATAATTCTATAAGAAAAAACATGTTCTGGATTGGAGGGAAGTAGAGAACGACACAGAAGAAAGGCGGGGAGGGGAAAGGAGAGCAGTGAAAGAAGTGGACAAAGGGGATTGGAGGGGAGAGTGAGTTTTCCATATGTTCTCTGTCAAGTATTAGAATGCAATCTACTTTTTTGATCCATTTGAATCATGAGCTTCAGAATACATAGGTTTTTTTTTAAGCTAATGCTATACAGCTCTTTACTGCTATAAACTGTCATTCTAATTAGTAGACACAGTAGTCAAATGAGTTTGTTGTTTGTTTTCTCTCTCACCACTGGATAAAGCTGGATAACAGAATATTCCATTATTCTGGTCCTGGTTCTGTCATTAATTGGCTTTGTGAACCTAAGAAGTCACTTGCCTTCTGTGAGCCTCAGTTTACTCATCTGCCAAATGATATAGCTGGACAAAATGATCTATAAAATTCTCTCTGCTCTAATATTTTATATTTCTTTGAAATCAGTTTTGTCCTAAGTATGGCAATGATTTTCAGTGTTTAAAAAAAGAAAGTTTTTTTGTAATTTATGATATTAACATATATTCTAAATATCGAGTTAGCACAGAAAGTTTTTTGCATAATTTGTCATTCTAACTTTTACATGCTGCTATTTGAGATTTTAGGGACTATCTGAGATTCTCCTATTAAGATTGTCATCGGTTTTATTAAATACTTGCCACCTGTACATAATTGTTTTGCATGATCTTCAGTTTGTTGATATTAATTTTTGTGGGAGTATTTGAGATAATTCCCAGACTTTGTATCTTTAGAGTTTCCTTTTGAGAGAATTCTTGTATTAAGAAACTAAAGCTGTTTTTTTCAAGTCTATGATTTATTTGTAGCCAGAATAACTTTATTTTAACTTTATGTTTCTTAAAGTTTTTATTTAAAATCTTTACACATTTTGCTTTGACAATGAACTGAACTGTGAAGAGATATTTTCAGTGTGACCTAATAAGATCATGCGATATTAAAGAAAGAAAAGTAATGCCCTGTATATGTAAGACATATAGTCGGAGGTACCAGAAAGTTATGCATTTATAAACTTTATCTATCTTCAGTTTTTATACTTTTTGGTTTAGTTTAATGTAAAGATTAGAGAATAGCAGGTACAAAGGTCTAGATTTCAGGAAAAGGATGACATTTGAGATCCTACTTTCAATTGTTTATATGGTCATGGTTTTAATACTGAGGAGCATTGATCATACTATCTTATAGACACTAGAGGGTAGCAAAGGATATATAAAGAAGGGGAAAACATGTTTCATTTTTCATCTTCTAGTGTGTAAATGACATATTAGACATATCTTCCAGACTATTCTTAAGTAGTGAAATTGTGTGTTTTATTTAAAGGGATATAACATTTCATTACTAAAAGCCTTCCAAAGCTTTCAAGCTAGCCATCACCAGGTAAATTCTTCAACATGATTTTCATCCTGTTAAAGAAAACTTTAGGGAAAAGTTTAAATTTGCACTTGTTAAAATTTAAATTCTTCTTCACAAGTAGAAAAAAAAAAGAATTCCTATTTTTGGTGGATCAAATAAGCACTAGGAAATTAAAAGATTTGAAAAGAATAAAAATATATTATGCCTAAGTGGTACTTAAGCAAATGTTGAGGTTTATCGATTGATGTTTTCAAAACAATATCACAAATCCGCAGAAGTTTTAACAGACTCCCCCCACCTTTTAATTTTTTTTTTTTTTATCGTCATCCGAGGACATTTTTCCATTTTTTTGTTGTTGTTCAGATAGAGTGGGAGGGAAAGAGAGGAAGAGAGAGAGAAACATCGATATGAAAGGGACACATTGAGTGGCTGCCACCCGCATTACCCAACCAGGGCCGGGGACAAACTGCAGGAAACATGCCCTTATCAGGAACCGAACCCGGGTCTCTCGGGACCGCAGGCCGAAGCTCTAACCGCTGAGCCAAATCAGCCAGGGCTGTTTTTTGTATATTTTAATTTGTTCTGAAACACCTGTTAAAGCAAGATAGACTAGCATTGAAACACAATTTTAGTTTAATCTCATTTTCTAAAGTATCCAAACATTTTTTTGTGATTGTCTATATAAGTATGTAATGCCCTAGCGCTGCAAATTTCTAAGGATGCTAATCCCTGATATTCAAGAATAAATGCTGGGGGATGGGAGATTAGAATAATTTTAATAATAACATTGACTATTAAAATTTAATCTGAAATTATTTTTATCATCAAGAAGTTAATTCACATCATTCTAAATGGTACTCTCAGGGCAAAACTATTTAAATGCAATTTTAAAAAGTTAGCTATATAATTTCTTTTTGCTTAGCTTAACAGTAATAGATAATTGCAAAGAAAGGTGGGGAAAGGGGTGTAGTTCCTGTGCTTTTAAAAAATATATTTCTTGTAAGAATTTTATTGCAAATGAATTGTTACCAAATGTTAATAATCTATTATGTCTTGTTTTTTAAAGTGAATGAATTTTTAGCTTTTGAGGGTTCCATCTTGTTGGATATGAGAATTAAACATCTAATCAAAACAAATCAGTTAAGTCAAGCAACTGCTCTAGCAAAGCTGTGTTCTGACCATCCAGAGATTGGTACAAAAGGTAGTTTTAAGCAAACTTACCTTGTCTGTCTTTGTACATCATCACCAAATGAAAAGTTAATCGAAGAGGTGAGTATGTTTTCTTTTCATAGTAATTATTTTAAAAGTAAAGAAACTTCTCGATTAGATTAACTTCCCTTTCTCTTAGATAGTGAGGGAGACCATTGTTGTCAATCTTGTTTTTGGTATGCTCTTGGATAGTGATTCTAAACAACTTTCTGAATTATATGTAAAGTAATTTTATCTAGCTTCTGTTTGAAATAATTTGACCCTTTTAACTCCTTTGGCTAAATTATAGGAAAGATGGTGGTGACTTAACAATTTAGTAGGATGTTTATATTTATCAGCATTTGGGTCTTAAATTAGTTTTACCTGACTTCATGATACTTGCATATCTTTTTAACTGGCTAATTTAAGTAACTTTATAGAATTTATATTACTTCCCCCTAGGAATATTTTCTCTGCTTTTAATGTGCATAAAAAACCATTTACTATATTTAATATTTAAAATGTATCTCTTATGAGAGCTAGATATCTATATCTCTTTCTAATTATATGTAAAGATAAAGTTTATATTTGCATATGTAATCTAAAACTTAATTTTCTTAGACATGATTTTTTTACTTCTAATTTGACGTAAAGCATAGTATTTAAGTATTTTTATCTTTTATATTACAGAATTCTGAGAGTAGAATCATGGTCCAAATGGGAATTTTGCATTTTGGATGACTCATAATTTCAAAATAAAGTTAGAGACAGTTGTAGGAAAATTAAATGTTGTTAATCAAGAAACAGGGAATATGTATTTAAAGAATATGTATTTAAATGAAAACTATAATTTGTTAGTCAGTATTAATGTGTACAAGTATCTTGTATCTTTAATATAAATATCCTTCAACTCCAGAACAAGAGAGAGGAGAACAAAGGGGTTGTAGGACAGACTTAAAGATATATAAGTGGAAATACCGAGATGCAAGACAGAGAGGACATTTAACAGAGTATGTGTGATCACCTGAGTAGACAGAGATTGTAGTCAGGTTCCAGAAGGAAGATAGCCTTAGATAGAAAGCTGAATGTCCATATCAATTTAGAGTTTCTAATTATAATGATGATTGGGCCATTTTATTTTATTTTTTAATAGAAAGTGAAGAGGAAGATGGGAAGCTTAGACCAAGATTAGGAATAAGCCTGTTGTATATGACAAGGTTAATGAGGGTACTCGCGAAAATGTCAGGCAGTTTCTAGGCTGGATGGAGTAGAGCAAAGGGTTCTAGCTAAGGAAATTATGTCAGTAGTTTGAACATTGGCTCAGCTATAGACCTTTTTCTTTGCCATTTCTCTTTTATCTCAGATAATTGGCTTTTTAATCACTGTATAGCAGAGCAAAATTGAAGATTGAAGTTTTTCTGATTAGTTCAGAATAACTGTAGACAGTAGACAGATGTATAAAGTTTCTTGAGATAGTCTTTAATGTGTGTAACATTTTTTTAAAATTCTTAATTATTGTACTGTTACATCTTAGATGATTTTCAAATAAAGTTTTAATGATTGGTTTAGTCCCTGCCCTTAAGTTAGTCTGTCCATCTGTCCTTCCTTCCTGTAGCAATTTTTATTTAGTGAATTGTGCTTACCACTGGGTAAGTGCTTACCACTGGGGCAGGGGTGGGGGGTGTGGGGAGAGTTAAAAGTGAGTAAGGCATAGGCCCTGTCCTAAAGAAGCATCCCTTATATATAGTAGGAAACTATCTAAATATAGGGTGGTTGGGTTAGCATTGAAGTCCTATTTGAAGTTGAAGGCTATGAATTTGTAATCTTAAGAGAAAAAAAAAAATCTGTGTTTTTAACTGTTTTGAATAATCAAAAGATTATCTAATACTCAACCTAAGTTAAATTGCCTTTTGGTTTAATTATCCAGAGTTGAGCAGCAGCAACTCAGCCCACTCTGGGAGATCCTAAGGAAAATTTTCTTTGTGGACCCTGGGTAGTTCTGATGTCATGTGAAATGTTTTTATTTTCTTTCTCATGTGAAGCAGGAAGAATTAAGATATTCCATGTTCTTAAACAGAATTCACTAAAGTCTCTGAACCCTACCCCAGAAACAAAACTAGATTACAGAGTACAGGACAGAATATGTGTAAGTCTACACATTTTCTTGTTAAAGGTCCCTTTTTGCTTAGACATTGTTGGATTATTCTTTTATATTTCTGTTACAAATATAGAAACTTTTTCTTCATTGTTTTATGTGAGGTAAATTCTCTTATTATTTCTGCTCTAAGTAAAGATAGTCACTTTGGAACAATTGCCCAAAGACATTGCCCCCGTCAGAATAGATATGCTCACTCTCACATGACCCACTTCATTCATTTACTTTCTGGTTCTTGTAAACATTTGAGTTTTTTACCCATTCCTTAAGGTATGGTGGAAATAGATACTGGAAAAAGTCAACTATACCTTGGATCTGTGGTCCTTTTGCAGAAATTTGTATCCAAGTGAGCCAGTAGGCAAGGGATTGGCTATTTTCCAGGACACTTTCAATGTGATAAAAATAGCAGCTAGCCCTGGCAGAGGAATTGTTGCTGAGGGAAATTAGTGTGTATCTGGCTTCTCTGAAAGGAATGAGCTTTGATCTGGATTCTTGGTTTAGGTATAAAAACAAAATTTAGCAGTGTTTATTTTAGATCCAGTGTTTCTATTGGTTTTATCATTAAAATAAACATAGAAATGTCAATAGTAAAATCCTCTATCTTGTCTCTAGCCATCATTTTCTCACTTAATACTCCCCCAACTAATCATTAAGTTTGAAATATATAACCTTTATGACATTTTTCTCTTTACATATATGTTTATTATATACCTTATGTACTTAAAACATACATACATACACCTTGGGTGCTAGTCACTTTTCTTCTCTTATTATGGACATCTTTCCATATCATTCCATATAGATCAATTTCATTTTTTCCCATGGCTGCATAATTTTGTATTATGGATTTGTAATATCTTTAAGCCATTGGGGGACATTTAATTTGTTGGCTTGTACATAACATCTTTTTTTCTTGTTGAGGGTGCACTAGTAGGGTAGATTTCTAGAAGTAATGAATTGCTACGTCAAAGAATTTACACATTCTAAATACACAGAGCCATACTGTCATCCAAAAAAGATTATGCCAACTTATGCTCCCATGAATACTACATGAAATTTCTTCTTTTTTAATACTAGAGATTATCCATCTTTTAAATCTTTGCTAGCCTGAGAGTTAAAAAAAAAAAATAGTAGCTCATTATTTGATTTTATGTTTTCTTAGTATGACATGTTTACCATTTAACTTCTTTTCTAGATGGAAAACAGTTTTATTTTGATAAGCAAAAAACTATTCTTGAAATTTAATTAGAGCCAATATATTTTTAAAGTACATTTGGTTAAAAGTATGTTATAAAATATTAAGTGTTCTATATTTTTTGAATACCTGGCATAACGAGCTATATTAAAACATAAAAATGGTTCACACGTTTTAAATGATTCTTTTTGCTATACAATGATTTAGCATGATATTTCTTTAACAAACAGATCAGTCTAATTGGCTTTAACTATTTTATTCAGAGTTCAAAATTTTCTGATATTTAAATTTTTTGCTCGCTTTCAAAGCAATAGAAAATAGTTATGTGTAATATAATATAGACATAGACCCTATGTAGGTAATATATAGGTAATTCCTACTTTATGCTGTCTTGGACTTCAGAAATAATTCTTGGTCATTAAGGGATATATTTGGTATATTTTTCACTTTCCTAGTTTCGATTCAACTATTCATTAGTTTAAATATGGTTTTATTTTCCCTGCCATTCTCTTTAGTGCCACATTTTTTTCAAGAGGACTATCTAGTGGCAAATCAGGGATTTAATAAAGGCCATCAAGGGCACAGTAAAAATTATTTTTTTAGTATACCTATAAAAAATGAGATTTTTCTGTATTATTGAATATAGTAAATGTTTCAGTTGATAAATTATATGTATAAAAATAAATGTATAGAAGCTATCTTACATACATGCAAGTATAGTTTAAATTATTAAGTGTAAGATAATGTACATAATATCATTGAAAAATAAGTTTATTATATATAATGTACACTTTGAATCATTTGAGCATTTAGCAAGAATGGCTTAGGTATTAGAAGAACAAAAATAAATAATCAGAATCAAAATAAATCAAGCACTTCAAGATGTAAGAATTTTTGTTAAACCTGAACATGCAAAAATCAGTATTTAGCATTAATAAAGGGTCCCAATGTGCTTGTGCCTGTGGAATGCTGGCAAGTGCACAGACTTTGAAACTAGACCTGGGTTGAAATCTTGACTCTGCCACTAATTAATCATGTGCCTTTGAGCAAATAATTTTTCTTCTGAACCTTATCTCTAAAAAGAAGTTGTTGTATCTACCAGGCAAGTTACTGTGCTGACTAGCAATGCTATTTCAGAAGAAACTGGCACTAATAAATGAATAGTAGCTGCTATTGTTACTATTAACATCTTATGAAAAAACAAAAAAACTCATGGGTTGATTTCCTAACATTTGTCTGCATGGGTGTGCCAGGGTAACTATTTAAAGTTAATACAGCTTTTAATAAGAGATACTGTGATAAAATGGAAAGAGAGTAAGCCTTTGATGTCAGTCAGATATAACTTGATTTGTGGTCCTACCACTACATAACGGTGGAAATGGGAAAATTATGTAATTTCTTTGAACCTCACATTCATTATATATAAAATGTTAATGATAATACCAACCTAGTGGAAAGTTGTGATTAAATGTAACGTATATAGTGTCTGACAATGCATTTACTATTGTAGGTATTTGAAAATATTTGTTATATATATAGTTTATCCCTTTTTTTATTTGTTTCAATGGGGTAACTAGAAGAAATAGGCAGAGGAGCAGTTGTAAGAACGCTGCACCGAGGAGTTCTAGTACGTAGGTTTCAGTCTTAATTCTGCAATTAACTTCATACTTACTTTAAGAAATTATTGTTATTAAACACAGATTCAGAGTTGGGTCTTAGTGTTTTCTATCCCAATTTAATGTATAAAGTGGAATCTCTGAATCTATCCCCATGTAACCTTTATCCTCATTATCAAAGATCAACCTCAAGATATCCTCATCTCAGTTAGACACTTGTTCAACCTTAAACACATTACATTTTACACACACACAGGTATGTAAAAGTTGATGGGGAGAGAGAGAAGATCAACAAGGAGGGACATGGTTACCTCTATGGTACATGGGTGCTAACGGTCTGTATCGGCCTTCAATTCTTTTTGCCATTTGTCTGTTGTGCCATTTGGAATTAATCTTTTTATTCTGTGGAACACCAGTGATTTGTGATTGTAGGCTGTTTGTTACACCCTTGTCTTAGAGCAAATGCTTGTGGAAATCATAGGTAAATTTTGTTTGTTTTATGTAGTAAATTATGTAATGAGGTAGCAAATTCTAATTTTTTAAGAAGCAATAGATGTAAGTACATAATTAAATGAAGCAAGTTGCCATCATCTAGGTTATACCTTTGCATGCATGACTGTTGACAAGCTTTGAGATGGAACGATTGTATATTAAAAGAAAAATACTGGAGATTTATAGAAAACTGAGGTGAGCTTGATTTAAAAGTGTTACAGCTATATAAAATGTTTCCTGTTATACTTTATTCCCCTCAGATGAAGAAACACTGTTTATTAGTCTATATCCAGTAGACCTTTCTGTCTTTCTACTAATTCTAATGCTTTTTAAATTATTGGATAAGGGGGGGGCATACAGGTACTGCATCTTTTCTTTTTCAGTATCATAGATGTGATTTAATGGTTAAAGGGTACTTGTAATTAGCATTAGTTATTTACACATAAATGCATGCTTGTAAAGTTCTCTGGCTTATAGATTATTTCTTTAAACTGCAACCTAGTAATGACAAATTATGAACTAATAGTACTTCAGTTAATGAGGTTTTACTTGTGAAAAATGATCTGTAAATATCTAATGAAAATTTTCAAGTACATTACTATATATCTTAATATAAAATCATTTTATGGCATATTTCTATATCCTTCTTCTGTAGATTTCAGAAGTTGATTGCAAAGATGCGCTAGAAATGATCTGTAACTTAGAATCTGAGGGTGATGAAAAAAGTGCTCTTGTTTTATGTACTGCATTTTTGTCACGTCAGCTCCAACAAGGAGAAATGTACTGTGCTTGGTGAGTTATATTGTTTTAAGGACCGCACAACTCCTTAATATACCAGTAATGATCACATAATTACCAGTATTGATAAAGAAAATTTTAATGTCGGAAAATGAAAGAAATGTTTATTTTGTCTGATGCCACAATAAAAAATTATTCAAATATATATGCCACCTATTATTGAATGTGTCTATTTTTTTCCTCTGCATACTACATGTCTACGAAACTAGCTATTAGTGGTTTATGTATGGAAATATGGTTCTTTTTTTTTTTCTATGAGAGATCATTCTACTTCATTAACTTCTTCAGTGCACATTTTTTATATGGTACATTTCCAAGTGCGCAAAGCCTGTTATATTTAGTCTTTTGGAGAGATACAACCAACAGAGATGTTGACTTCAGTTAACTCTAAATCTTTAATATCAGCTGTGTTAAATTAGTGTTAGCTAAAACTGACCATTTATCTAGTCAGTCAACAGCATTATTAATCATTATTGTGGGAACAAAAAACAAAATTTAGTTTATAGTATTTTGACATTTAAGAATGTTTACCAAGTGATACATGGCATACAAATGAGTATAGAACAGGCAAGTTAAACAAATGATTGTGTAACTAAAGAATAGTAAAGTGTACCCTGGCCAGTTTGGCTCAGCCGTTAGAGCGTTGGCCTATGGTCCAGAGCGACCCAGGTTCGGTTCCTGCTAAGGGCGCGTACCTCGGTTGCATTTTGTCCCCGGCCCTGGTTGGTCGTGTGGGTGACAGCCACTCGATGCGTCCCTTTCATGTTAATGTTTCTCTCTCTCTCCCTCTCACTCTATCTGAACAAAAAATGGAAAAATGTCCTCAGGTGAGGATAAAAAAATAAATAAAAGAATAGTAAAGTGTATAATTATAAAGGTTTTCTGAGTAGTTAAGCTTTGTTATGAAAGAAGGATTATATGTGCAATAGAGAGAGAATTAATACAAATGGCCGGTAGAAAGATTCTGAAGGGAGAATAAATAACGTGTATTTATTGAGGATAAGTAGATTTCCTATATAATAAGTATCAGTGATGACTAAGAAATTAATATATTGGTTTTAAAAATCATTTAAGATTATATATGAAAAGGGAAAACAGTCTTATTATAAGACCAAAAGTAGAAAGAAGACAAAATGGAAGCTTATGTTTAGAAACACTGTTTAAGACAAGCAGTTGAGAATGGATTGGGAGCTGGATGGTGAAGGCAGAGTTGGAGGGAATGAAGTGGCAGTATAAGAAGTTGAGTTGAGACAGGAAAATCAACTCGAAAGCCAGTAAATAATCCAGCGGGGAGGCTATGAAGGCTTCCTTATGGATATAGGCTGTAGTGGAAGAAACAAGTTAACAGTCTTGAGGATAGTAAAAAGCTGGTAGGGTCAGTGATAATGATGCATTAAGTTAGAAAGATGGTGAACTGTAAAGAATGTTAGTGATCTTTTTCATATATTAAGTTTCAGGTTTCAGAAGAGATCAAAGTGAAGGAGTCTTATAAAGAACTAGAGATGTGAAAGTGGTAAAGACTGGAGAGAGAGATTTTGAAGTCCTCAATATAAGGTTAAAATCCACAAGTGAGCAAGTTATTCAAGTAGGTGGTGAAAAGACCAGACTTGCTAGGAGTGGAAACAGAGGAAATGCTAATAGGAAGGCCTGTATTGAGGAGAAAACTTGGTGAAAAATAATTGATGAAAGAACATTTTTGTAGAAGTTAACTATGGAGAACAGAAGAGAAGTAGGATGATAGGTAAAAGGGAGAAAAATTCACCACTTCAGTAAGATTATTTTCTATGAAAAATACCTTGTAATTGTATTTGAATACATTTCAAAGTTTATTTTTCAAAACTTCTGTTGTTTCACTGCTGTGACACAGATTAGTTACTTCTGGGTTCTGTGCCATCATTGATTCTTAACATTTACCTAATAATACTCTACTTGAAAATTTAAATTTAACTGACCAATTAAATGGGTCAATTTTAAATTTAAGTTAAAAGATAAAAATTAGCCCTGGCCAGTTTTTTCAGTGGTTAGAGCATTGGCCAGTGGACCAAAGAGTCGCAGGTTCGATTTCAGTCAAGTGCATGTACCTCGGTTGCAATTTGGTCCACAGCCCTAGTCGAGGTTATGTGGGAAGCAAACCAGTCCATGTGTCTCTCTCACGTAGATGATATTCTCTCCCCTCCCCCTCCCTCACACTCTATCTGAAGGTAAATGGAAAAATATCCTCAGGTGAGGATTTTAAAAAAAAAAAGATAAAAATTAAATGCTTTTAAAAACCATTATGCTACTTGAATATACACACACATTTTGCACTCTCTTATTAAAGTTCAGAAGTGGCTCAAAGTTACCATTTGTATAAATTGTTTAAATGTCAGGTGCTTTCCTAGTAAAAGGCAGTACTTTTCTCTCTGAGATTGAAAAATATTAATAATAAAATGGTAAATTATATTCTGATTTTATTTAGTCTCTAGATAACTTAGATGTTTTTCTTTTGCTTTTAAACTTAATTATACATACAGAATTCAAATCTAAAACCAGTTTTAATTTCAGATGTAATGACTGCACTGACATAGTCCATGTTTATTCCATTACTGCTCTAACTTATGTTTTATACTTTTTTAGGGAACTCACTCTGTTTTGGAGTAAATTACAGCAGAGGGTAGAACCATCTGTACATGTATACCTGGAAAGATGTCGTCAACTTTCTTTGTTAACCAAGACGGTATATCACATTTTCTTCCTGATTAAAGTTATTAATTCAGAGGTAAGAATAATTGAGATCTCTTTTCTTAATGTAAAATACATAAAATATCTTTAATAAAAGACATTTTGGCACCTTTCTCACTGATTTTTATTTAGTGCTTTAAACATCGATATTTTCTTAATTGGTCCTTTAAAACATTTGATGCAGAGAAACTAAAAAATGCAAATGAGAGCTAGGGGCTTGCTCTTAGCCTGGAGAAAAGTAATATACTTAATAATTGTAATTTACCATTCTGTAATTTTTACTCATAGTTATTACACTATTTTGATAATTTGCCTCTATAGAAATGTGGAGAGTGTAAAGGGAAATTTAAGAGTTAGCTTCCTTTGCCAGCCATCTAGCAGATCACACTATCTAAAAATTCTTCTTTTACGGAACACCCAGAAATACTTGATAAAATTAAACAAAATTTTTTTTTTTTTTATGTATAGCATCTGAGATTTCAAGAATTAGGGAAATCTCCAGGCTCAAAATGCAAAGAAACCTAAAAACAAGAAAAATTTGAGCTGATGCTAGACCTCTCCTTCTGGTGGAGATTGGGATATGTTAGTACTTGCAATTAAGAGGGTTGAATTGTAATGTTTACACAGGGATAGAAGGTAGCTATACGGGGATAGGAGATAATATCTTGGCTCTCTCAAGTTGGAGAGTTAGAACTGAGCTCTGTCTTCCCTCCTCCGCCAACCTGTGAAGTACTATAATTTCACTCTAGGGTAGATTAGAAAAATATTACTCAGACACGGGTGATAAGGAAACTTGTGTGTGTCCAACTGGCCTGTGAGTCAGAGGACAAAATGTTCCCTCTTAGGAGTTATAACCATTGGTCTTCCCCCACACAGATTTTGGCTCCACACTTACCTGTACAGTGATACCTCGGTTCTCGGACATAATTCGTTCCAGGAGGACGGTCGAGAACCAAATTGTTCGAGAACCGAAGCAATGAAACCCAATAGGAAATAATGGAAACTGGATTAATTCGTTCCACGCCCCAGAAAATGCCTATTTACTGGCCTAATTTGTATATAATATGTAGAAAAACATAAGTCTCAACAAGAAATAAAAGTGTACAGTATGTCTAAGGGTTAAATTCAGTGTAAAGCGTGACTCTCTCCACAAAGCGTGACTCTCTCTCTGCACTCGCACTGATGACGCAAGCAAGGCGCGCTGGGCCGAATGAACGCCATTCGGCTCAACTCGGCTCATCTCGGAAGTTCGAGTTCCAAATATTTGTTCGGATTCCAAGACAAGAGTTTCTCGAATCTCCTGGTCGAATACCGATTTGGTCGAAATCCGAGGCGTTCGAGAACCGAGGTATCACTGTATAGTCCAGGAATCCCTATGTCAAGTAAGAATGTTGAACAGGGTAAAGATGAAGTGAGTCTGGGCTGGTAATACTGGGATTCCTGGCAGAAGCAAATGTAGAACTGAAGAGATAAACCCTCAGAACAGGATTCTCAGATAAAGCCCTGCTTATGATGACTTCATGATCAAGATTTAAAAAACATGAAACAGTCTGCCAAGGAATTTTTAGCAAAGAGAAATAAAAGGATTAAACATTCCAGGATAAAAGCTATAAACTACATACATTTATTATTATTATTTTTTTTAATCCTCATCCGAGGACATTTTTCCATTTTTTGTACAGACAGAGTGGGAGGGAGAGAGAGGAAGAGAGAGAGAGGGAAACATCGATGTGAAAGGGACACATCAAGTGGCTGCCACCCGCACGACCAACCAGGGCCGGGGACAAACTGCAACCGAGGTACATGCCCTTAGCGGGAACCGAACCCGGGTCTCTCCGGACCGCAGGCGGACGCTCTAACCGCTGAGCCAAACCGGCCAGGGCAAACTACATACATTTAAAGACAAATTGTCAAGATTTATAAAACATGAAGCAATCAGACATGAATGAATTTCAGTACACAGAATAGGAGAATTATTTGCCTAATAGTTTACAATAAATAGAATTATGGATAAATCTATAACATACATATATTTAAAGACATAAAATAAGGAATTAAAACATGAGAAAGGAAAATAGTATCAAAATGACCAAGCAGTGCCCGGCCAGTGTGGCTCAGTGGTTGAGCACCAAGAGGTCACCAGTTCGATTCCCTGTCAGAGTACATGCCCAGGTTTTGGGCCAAATCCCCAGTGTGAGGGGCATGCAGGAGGCGGCCAATCGATGTTCTCTCTCATCGATGTTTCTATTTCTCCCTCCCTCCCTCTCTCAAATCAATAAAGAAAAAAATAAATAAATGACCAAGCAGATTTTGAGTCAAAAGAACTTTTACAAATAAAAGAACGTAGTCACTGAAATGAAAACACTTAACAGATGCATTAAACAGATTAGACACAACTGAAGAGGGAATTGGTAAGCAGAGGTTGCATGTGTTTCCATTTATTTATTAACTAAGTCAGAATCCAAGTTTTATAAAATTAATTTATTTTCTTGTAGGAATGCAGTTGGTTTCTATTTTAAATGTTCACAGAAAACACTTCATGGATGTGCTGCCTCACATATCATGGAATGCCAAACAGTTTTTAGGAATCCTTAAAAACAAATTCAGCATGACAAGAAGTAGTTTTAAATTCGTTTTTTGTTTTTTTTTTTAAAGAAGGGACCAAAAGACACTCCTATTCCTCCCCCCCTTTTTTTTTGTTAATTCTCACCTGAAGATATTTTTTCATTGATTTTTAGATAGAGTGGGAGGAAGGAAGGGGGAGAAAGAAAGAAACCAATGTGAGAGACATAGCACATCACTTGATTGCCTCCCACACGACCCTGACCAGGGTCAGGGATCAAATCTGAGACCCTCCACAGGCCAACGCTCTAACCACTGAGCAAAACTGACCAGGGCCCTCCTGTCCCCGCCTTTTTATTTGTTTTATTCACCCATGGATATTTTTCTACTTATTATCAGATAAAGTGGGAGGGAGGAAGGGAGAGAGAGAGAGAAAACATCGATGTGATAGAGCCACATCAACTGGTTGCCTCCTACACGACCCGATCAGGGCCAGGGACGAACTGAAACCGAGGTACATACCCTTGACTGAATCAAAGCCATGACTCATTGGTCCATGGGCCAATGCTCTAACCACTGAACCAAACTGGCCAGGGCCTCCTATTCCCTTTTTAAAGTACCTTTTAAAATCTGTAGTTAGTCAATATATCTTATATGTGTCTTCATTTTTCTCTCTCCTGAAATAATTTTATTTTGAGGAGGAAGGAGCAGGAATAAATTCTTATGCTTTTCTCTTTTGCTCTGTCATCCTTGTTAACTCATCTTGCTTTTTCATTTTATATAGTATAGTTCTACAGTTAAAAAATAAACTTAGAACAGTAAGTTTCTTAGGAAATTACTGCAGTTTTAAAATAGAAGTTATGCCACAGCTTTTGTCTAACTAAAAAACAACATGGTTAAGTAGAAGGAACTTGGAACCAGAAGTCAGACAAACTGGCTATAAATCTTGACTTGCTATTGACCAGTTGATAACTTGAACCACTTTGGATTTCATTTCTTAATCAAAAGAATTTAGAAGGTTAGGTAAAAGTGACTCTTCTCCCTCAACCTTACACTGCTCTCACAAGAATACCATATTGGAAAGGGGAAGAAAACTTGAACAAGAGCTGTGCATCATGGTAGCTGTTAGCCACTTGTGGCTATTTAAGTAAAATGTAAAATTATTTCTTCAGTCACAATAGCCACGTTATAGGTGTGCACTATCTCCTCCATGTGGCTAGTGACTACCATGTTGAACAGCACAGATAAACAACATTTCCATCATCTCGGCTCTGAGTAGTGCTTTTTTAGAGGGATGTAGAGTTCAGAAATAAAGCAGGTAAAGGAGCAGTTAAAAGCATGAATAGTCTGGCAGGGTGGTGGGCGAATTGGTTGGAGTATTCTCCAGTACACCAAAAGGTTGCAGGTTTGGTTCCTGGTCGAGACACCATTACTTGGTTTGCAGGTTTGATCCCCGGTCTCGGTGTTTGTGAGTCAACCAGTCTGTTTTTCTTTCATATCAGTGTTTCTCTCTCTCTCCTTCTCTCTCTAAAAATCAATAAAAATATATCCTCTAGTGAGGATTTTAAAAGAAAAAAAAAAGTATTTGTTCTTAGAACGGCGGATGAAGACCAAAATATATATTTCTCGTTATCACAGTATCACAAGTTAGTATCAAAACAAATGAGAGAATGGCACATTTGGGTAACTACGGTTACTTCAGTTTGCCTGGTTTTGTAGGCTATTTGGGTAGGGGGAAAGGTAAAAGATGTAGCTAGACAAAATGACACATAGGTTAGATAATGAAAGCTCTCTTTTATACCATGCTTAGTTACATTTGATTCTGAAATACATAGATAACCATTTAAGAATTTTAAAGCAGTATAAGACAATGATGTGTGTCCTTTCTTAACTGTCACTTTTAAAACTTCAGTTTTAGCCCAGCCAGTGTGGTTAAGTGTCAGCCCATGCACCAGGGGGTCACCGGTTCAATTCCTGGTCAGGACACATGCCCAGGTTGTGGGCTCAAGTCCCCCAGTGGGGGTGTGCAAGAGGTGGCCCATCGATGTTCTCTCTCATCAATGTTTCTGTCTCTCCCCCTCTCCCTTTCCCTTCCTTTCTCTCAAAAATTCAGTAAAGAAAAAAATTTTTTTATTGGGTTTTTTATCCTTGTTTAGTCCATTTTTTCCTTGGTTTTCTTCTTGGTCTTTGCACCCTTCCTTTTCCTGAAATCAAATCCGGTTCAGTGTGCCAGCCTCCTTCCTTCACTCTCTTTTTAGCTCACAAATTTAAGGTTCTGTTTAGTAAAATATTTTTGTTTCTTCTTAATCTGTGAAAATGCAGGCCCTATCAGCTTTTTTTTACTTCTTTTTTACATTTTGATCTTACACCACATATATTCATTCTCATAAATATGGCCAACATCTTTTGGTTGGCTTATTTTTCATATAAATAAATATATATGTTTATTTATTTATTTATATATTTTCCCCTTCTGGTTCCTTTTTAAAACCCATTTTATCTTCATATCTTTCAAATGACTTACATTCACTACTGCTGTCTTACAATAACAGTTCAAGATGCTAATTCAAAAGGAAAAATTTATGTTTCCTTCTACTCCTAATTCTTAAACTGCTTCATCCATGAGGTAGGGCATTTGACATTCAATTTTGTGATCAACTAGAATCTCTACTATTAAGGATGAAATAAGTTTATTTTGTTAAAGTAAAAATCTCATTTCATTACTCAGGAAATAACGGGAACATTCTCAGTTTTGTAATTGGGTTAAGAGGGTTTGGTTTCAGAAGGATTGCAAATGCAAACTTAGGAAATGAGATTTGTTAATGGCATTTATTAATCACTTACAATGTACCAGACATACCAGACTATTCCCGGTACTTTAGATACATAATATCTATTAATGCTCACAGCAGTTTCACAAAGTTTGTGCTCTTTTGATCTCTGTTTTATGAGTGGGATATGAAAGGTGAGAAGTAAATAACTTCCCAGTTTGCCTGGCTATTAGGTAATCTTGGCTGCCACTGCTTATGCTTTCTCTGATCTACTGTACAGTTCATTTTACACACAACACACCACCACCACCCCCAGACTAAGTTGCAGTGCTTTATAAGGAGCATTGTTTCATATATTGACTATTGCAAAATTTGAGAAAAGCAAACCTCAATTTTAAATTACTAAATTCACAAATCTGTATTGATTAGTGTAGATTAAGTTAACATTTCCTATTTGCTTTTTCACAGACTGAAGGGGCTGGACTTGCTACCTGTATAGAACTATGTGTTAAAGCTCTTCGCTTGGAATCTACAGAAAATAACGAAGTGAAAATATCTATTTGCAAGACCATTTCATGCTTGTTGCCTGATGATCTGGAAGTTAAACGTGCTTGTCAATTGAGTGAATTTCTTATTGAGCCTACGGTAGATGCATATTATGCTGTGGAAATGTTGTATAATCAGCCAGACCAGAAATATGATGAAGAGAATCTTCCAATACCAAATTCTCTACGCTGTGAGCTCTTACTTGTATTAAAAACTCAGTGGCCCTTTGATCCAGAATTCTGGGATTGGAAAACCTTAAAACGACAATGTCTTGCGTTAATGGGGGAAGAAGCATCTATTGTGTCTTCAATTGATGAACTAAATGACAGTGAAGTTTATGAGAAAGTAGTAGACTACCAGGAAGAGATCAAAGAAACTTCTGTGAACGGACTTTCTGGTGGAGTTGGTGCTAATTCTGGCCTTTGTGATGAAAAGCAGAAGAAGAGAGAAATAAAACAATTAAGGGAGAGGGGATTTATATCTGCTAGGTTTCGAAATTGGCAAGCCTACATGCAGTATTGTGTACTATGTGACAAGGAATTCCTTGGCCATAGAATAGTACGCCATGCTCAGAAACATTACAAAGATGGAATTTACAGTTGTCCTATATGTGCAAAGAACTTTAATTCTAAAGAAACTTTTGTTCCTCATGTCACGTTGCATGTTAAACAATCTAGTAAAGAGAGACTAGCAGCTATGAAACCATTAAGAAGATTGGGAAGGCCTCCTAAGATCACAACTACCAATGAAAATCAGAAGGCTAATGCTGTGGCCAAGCAGGAACAGCGGCCTATAAAAAAGAATAGTCTCTATTCAACAGACTTTATAGTATTTAATGACAATGATGGTTCAGATGATGAAAATGATGACAAAGATAAATCTTATGAGCCAGAAGTGGTCCCAGTACAGAAACCAGTACCTGTCAATGAATTTAATTGCCCTATAACTTTTTGTAAAAAGGGCTTTAAGTACTTTAAAAATCTAATTGCTCACGTAAAGGGGCATAAGGATAATGAAGATGCCAAGCGCTTTCTTGAAATGCAAAGCAAAAAAGTGATTTGCCAGTACTGTAGGCGGCATTTTGTAAGTGTTACTCATCTCAATGATCACTTACAAATGCACTGTGGCAGTAAACCATATATCTGTATACAGATGAAATGTAAGGCTGGTTTTAATAGTTACGCGGAGCTCTTAACCCACCGAAAGGAACATCAAGTTTTTAGAGCAAAGTGTATGTTTCCTAAATGTGGCAGGATTTTCTCAGAAGCTTATTTACTATATGATCATGAAGCACAGCATTATAATACCTACACTTGTAAGTTTACAGGTTGTGGTAAAGTATATCGTTCTCAGAGTGAGCTAGAGAAACATTTGGATGATCATAGCACTGAAAAAGCGCTGCCTCCAGAAGACCAACTTAGTTCATCTGGAGCTTCTGTTCAGCCTTCCAAAGTGAATCAGAACTCAGAAGGGAACACTGAGAAAGAGAGGTCTGTGCTACCTTCACAAAATAACATTGAAAATACCTTATCAGCAGATAGAAGTGATGCTTGGGTTAAAAGTAAGGCAGAATCTGCTGTGGCCAAACAAGACCAGATTTCTGCTTCCGAGCTCAGTCAGACTGATGAAACGTTGCCAAATGGTTTGGAAAACCCTGCTGCCACTACTCTGCTACAGACAGGTGAAGTAGCTGTGTCCCTTAAGGTGTCCCTCAACCAGGGGATTGAGGATAACTTTGGAAAGCAAGAAAACTCAACTGTGGTAGACACTGGTGAATCACTGGTTGCAAACTTACATACAGTAGTTGAAGATACATGTAATGATTTGTGTCATCCAGGTTTCCAGGAGAGAAAAGAGCAGAATTGCTTTAATGAAGTTCAGATTACCCAGAATTCTTTAGTAAATTCAGAAACCCTCAAAATAGGTGACCTTACCCCACAAAACTTAGAAAGACAAGTGAACAATTTGATGACCTTTTCTGTGCAAAATGAGACAGGATTTCAAAACAGTTTACCAACATCTAAGTTTGAATGTGGAGGTAATGTGAAAACATCGTCCAATCTTTATAATTTACCCCTTAAGACATTAGAAGGTACCACATTTGCTCCACCACAGCCCAACCTAAGTTCTTTAGGAACTCCATCAGTGCCTCCAAAAGCGCCAGTTCAGAAGTTCAGTTGCCAGGTTGAGGGTTGTACTCGAACGTATAATTCTTCACAGAGTATTGGGAAACACATGAAGACAGCACACCCTGACCAGTATGCTGCATTTAAAATGCAGTGCAAAAGTAAAAAAGGTCAGAAATCTAACAACTTAAATGCACCAAATAATGGAAAGTTTGTTTATTTTTTGCCATCACAAGTGAGCAGCTCTAACAATGCATTTTTTACGCCACAGACCAAAGCCAATGGGAATTCTTCTTGTTCAGATCAGTTGCAGTGTGTCTCATCTTCCATCTTTCCAGCTCATTTAACCAGTGTGTCAGCTCCACTGTTGCCTTCAGTGGAAAGTGTCATAAATCCAAATATATCTTCTCAGGATAAAAATGAACAAGGTGGTATGTTATGTTCCCAGATGGAAAATTTGTCTAATACTACCTTGCCAGCACAAATGGATGATTTAACCAAAACAGTTTTGCCTTTGAATATTGACAGTGGCTCAGATCCTTTTCTTCCTTTACCTGCAGAAAGTAGTTCAATGTCTCTCTTTCCTTCACCAGCAGATAGTGGGACTAATTCTGTTTTTTCCCAACTGGAAAACAGTACAAATCATTTTTCCTCACAGATTGAAGGAAACACTAGTTCCTCTTTTCTGAAAGGAGGTAATGTTGAAAATGCAGTTTTCCCCTCACAAGTAAATGTTGCAAATGACTTCAGTAGCACCAATGTGCAACAGTCTGCTCCTGAAAAAGTTAAAAAAGACCGTGGGCGAGGCCCAAATGGGAAGGACAGAAAACCCAAGCACAACAAAAGGGCTAAGTGGCCTGCAATTATCAGAGATGGGAAATTTATCTGTAGCAGGTGTTATAGGGCTTTTACCAATCCCAGATCTCTGGGTGGACACTTGTCTAAGCGATCTTACTGTAAACCACTGGATGGAGCAGAAATTGCTCAAGAACTTCTGCAGAGTAATGGGCAGCCTTCTCTTCTTGCCAGCATGATTCTCTCCACAAATGCAGTAAATTTGCAGCAGGCACAACCATCTACACCATCTACCTTCAATCCAGAAACATGTTTTAAAGATTCATCATTCCTACAACTTCTTGCTGCTGAAAATCGCTCATCAACATTTTTACCAAATACATTTTCCAGGGCTGGTGTAACTAACTTTAATACAACTGTTAGTCAAGAAGGAAGTGAAATTATTAAACAGGCTTTGGAAACTGCTGGCATTCCCAGTACATTTGAGGGTGCCGAAATGCTTTCTCATGTTCCAACAGGTTGTGTCTCAGATGCAACACAAGTAAATGCGACAGTGATACCAAATCCAACAGTGCCACCACCCCTGTTGCAGACTGTGTGCCATCCAAACACCCTGCTGACAAACCAGAATAGAACACCAAACTCTAAAACTCCCTCCATTGAGGAATGTAGCAGTTTGCCTGGTTTTCCAACAAATGACTTATTACTGAAGACTGTTGAAAATGGTTTGTGCTCTAGTACATTCCGTAATTCTAGTGGGCCATCACCAAATTTTACCAGTAATAGTTCACGTGTTTCAGTTATAAGTGGTCCTCAGAACACAAGGTCCAGTCATTTAAATAAAAAAGGAAACAGTGCTTCTAAGAGAAGAAAGAAAGTTACTCCATTAATTGCACCTAATGCATCCCAAAACTTGGTAACAAATGACTTAACAGCAATGGGACTTATAGCAAAGAGTATTGAGATACCAACTACTAACCTGCATTCAAATGTAATTCCAAATTGTGAACCTCGGGCTTTGGTGGAAAATCTAACACAGAAATTAAATAATGTTGACAATCAGTTATTTATGACTGATGTAAAAGAAAACTTTAAAACCAATCTTGAGTCTCATACAGTGTTAACTCCTTTACCATTAAAAACTGAAAATGGTGATTCCCAAATGATGGCTTTGAATTCATGCACAACTTCAATAAATTCTGATTTGCAGATTTCTGAAGACAATGTTATACAAAACTTTGAAAAGACTCTTGAAATTATTAAAAGTGCTATGAATTCTCAAATACTTGAGGTAAAAAGTGGATCTCAGGGTGTTGGTGAAACATCACAGAATGCTCAAATAAATTATAACATTCAGCTTTCTTCATTAAACACTGTACAAAATAACAAATTACCTGATTCCTCTCAGTTTTCCTCCTTCATAGGTGTGGTGCCAACAAAAAGTAACATTCCCCAATCTGAAGTATTGCATAAGGAGGATCAAATACAGGAAATTTTAGAAGGCTTACAGAAATTAAAATTAGAAAATGACCTATCCACCCCAGCATCCCAGTGTGTACTAATGAATACGTCAGTGACACTGACTCCTACTCCTGTTAAATCAATTCCAAACGTTACAGTTGTTCAGCCAGTTTCTGAAATGCTAAATAATATTCAGTTTAGTGACAAAGTTAATAAACCCTTTGTGTGTCAAAACCAAGGCTGTAATTACAGTGCTATGACAAAGGATGCACTATTTAAGCACTATGGGAAAATTCATCAGTACACTCCAGAGATGATTCTGGAAATTAAGAAGAATCAATTGAAATTTGCTCCATTTAAATGTGTAGTACCTACATGTACAAAGACATTTACAAGAAATTCTAACCTCCGGGCACACTGTCAGTTGGTACATCATTTTACAACAGAAGAAATGGTAAAGTTAAAAATAAAAAGGCCTTATGGGAGAAAGTCTCAGAGTGAAAATTTGTCAGCTCCCCGAATAACACAAGTAAAAAGACAGCTAGCTGTGACAGAAGAAAATAAAAGGGAATTACCGTCTGCTGTGGAATTGGGAGCAATGAAGGAAAATGCCTTCAGTAATACAGCAGTGATTCCAGAAAAACAACTTACAGAAAAAAAAAGTCCTGAAAAAACAGAAAGTTCTTCACAAGTGATCACAGTTATTTCAGAACAATGTAATACAAATTCTCTCACAAACATGCAAACCAAAGGACGGAAAATTAGGAGACATAAAAAAGAAAAGGAGGAGAAAAAACGCAAGAAGCCAGTTCCCCAATCCCTTGAGTTTCCAACAAGATACAGTCCCTACAGACCTTATCGATGTGTTCATCAGGGCTGCTTTGCTGCCTTTACAATACAGCAAAACTTAATTCTGCATTACCAAGCTGTACACAAATCAGATCTACCTGCATTTTCTGCAGAGGTTGAAGAAGAAAGCGAAGCTGGTAAAGAAAGTGAAGAAATTGAAACTAAACAAACTGTGAAAGAATTTCGATGTCAGGTTAGTGACTGTTCTCGAATTTTCCAAGCAATTACTGGCCTAATACAACACTATATGAAACTTCATGAAATGACTCCTGAGGAAATTGAAAGTATGACTGCTTCTGTTGACGTTGGGAAATTTCCATGTGACCAGTTAGAATGTAAATCTTCATTTACCACATATTTGAACTATGTTGTTCATCTTGAGACAGACCATGGAATTGGGATAAGGGGAAGCAAAACTGAAGAGGATGGCATATACAAGTGTGACTGTGAAGGCTGTGACCGTATATATGCAACTCGGTCTAACCTCCTTCGACACATTTTTAATAAGCATAATGACAAACATAAAGCTCATTTGATTCGGCCAAGAAGATTAACATCTGGTCAGGAAAATATATCAAGCAAAGCAAACCAAGAAAAGACAAAGTCCAAACATCGAGGGACAAAACACAGATCTGGAAAAGAAGGAACCAAAATGCCTAAGACCAAACGAAAGAAAAAAAATAATTTAGAAAACAAGAATGCAAAAATTGTACAGATTGAAGAAAATAAGCCTTATTCTCTGAAACGTGGAAAGCATGTATATTCTATTAAGGCTAGAAATGATGCCTTATCTGAATGTACAAGCAGATTTGTAACCCAGTATCCTTGTATGATAAAGGGGTGTACTTCAGTTGTTACAAGTGAAAGCAATATAATTAGACATTATAAATGTCATAAATTATCTAAGGCATTTACAGCACAACACCGCAATCTTCTTATTGTCTTCAAACAGTGTTGCAACTCACATTTAAAGGAAACATCTCATCAAGAAGTTGTTAAGAATGATGTGAAAGAATCTGATACGTGTGTATCAGAAAGCAATGATAACTCAACAACTACAGTTCCACAGAAGGAAGTTGAAAAAAATGAAAAAGACGAAATGGATGAACTAACAGAATTATTTATTACAAAATTAATAAATGAAGACAACGCAGGTGTGGAGACCCAAGCTCATACCTCTTCAAATGTAAGTAATGACTTTCAGGAAAATAACCTCTGCCAATCAGAAAAACAAAAAGCACCTAATTTGAAGAGAGTTAATAAAGAAAAAAATGTCTCCCAAAATAAAAAGAGGAAAATTGAAAAGGCTGAACCTGTACCAGTAGTTGAGTTGAGTAATATGCATAAGGAAGAAGAAACTGCTGTTGCAATTCAAACCACTGAAGAGCATCCTGCATCTTTTGACTGGAGCTCATTTAAACCAATGGGATTTGAAGTATCATTTCTGAAGTTTCTTGAGGAATCTGCAGTGAAACAGAAGAAAAGTACTGACAAAGACCATTCAAATAGTGGAAATAAGAAAGGATCCCATTCAAATTCAAGAAAAAATATAGACAAGACTGCTGTGAATAGTGGAAATCACATATGTTCTTATAAAGAAAGTGAAACCTTTGTACAGTTTGCCAATCCATCACAGCTTCAGTGCAGTGATAATGTAAAAATTGTTTTAGACAAGACTCTGAAAGATTGCACTGAGCTTGTCTTAAAGCAACTTCAGGAAATGAAACCTACCGTCAGTCTGAAAAAACTTGAAGTACATTCAAATGATCCAGATGTGTCTGTTATGAAAGAAATCAGTATGGGTAAAGCCACAGGGAGAGGGCAGTACTGATAACTAATGTGCTATAAATACATCATTTACACTTTTATTTTAAATAGAAAGCCATCAAGCATGCTAGAATTGTGAAACTTTTCATTATTTTTGGTTGTTGTTGACATGAATTAACCTGGCCAAAAAAAACAAAAAGGAAAAAAAAAAACATGACATTTGTCATGTAAAACTTTTTTTATCCCTATGGGACTTGAAGAACAGAATCAGAACTGCAGTTATTGTAAATACTGAGCTAAACCTCAAATTTCTATCAACCAGTTTCCCCTTTCATGAACTAAAATGAATTATCTGTGACTGATTTGTTTCACCAGGTCACTTCTCATGTATAACATTACTCTTTGTTTGTAGATATCTTTTTTGTATATATTTATTATTGTAAATCATTTGCTGCCACCAGCAGTGTGTAAGTCTAAACTATTAAATTACACATTTATATTTGGAATTTTAATTTTTAACTAAGTAATCAACTTTTTAAAACTCCTTTTATTGTTTTAAATTAAGAATTTTTTTAACTGAAACTAGAAACTCTGCCATAGTTCATTGATTTTTACAAAAGCGTTTATTTACAAGATATCAAAATTACTTTTCACAAAGTAGGCACATTATATCAACACCTTGCTCTGCTTTGTAAATTTACCATCCAGGATTTGGGGTGGTGTTCATGTGAAATTGAAGCAGATTCTTTACTAGTTTCCTGTAGCTACAGTCTCACCCCCCTCCCCCATGCTTCTAATTGGATATAGATTATATGATTCCATGAAATCTAATGGAAATGTGAATAAAGAATTTACATCAAGATTTTAAACATTTGGTATTTTAAAAAATCCTTTGTGAATGTGATAGAAACTAGTAGTGTGGAGCAGTGTAAATATTTGAGGTGGTGATTTGTGAAGTAGCCCAGTATTGCCTTAAATAAAATCACATTTCATTTCTTGTTTTATACATGTGATCTTATAAAGGGGTTTTTTTTTCTTTCATTTTCTGAGATTTATAGATTGGTGTATAGCTTTAAAATGTATAAACTTTTGTGGAAAAATTTTTTTAAGCATTTTTATAAATCTTAAAATTGGTATCATCAAAGTGAGCCCATCTTGTGTTTATAAAATACAAGAGTCCTTTGAAACACTTTCTATAAGGAAGTTGGATGTTTTGATTTTACTGTTTATAGATGTTAGATTGTACAGATTTGTCTGTATTTTCCCACCATATCTAATGATGCTTTTTTCATTAGATTGGTCTTTGAGAGCAGTATTAGTTGTTACAGATTATTTTGGTTATTTAGTATATAGTTAGCTCTTATAGTTTAGCTTTATTTACCATATTTATACTGTGGATTCACAGCTAGAGATAGAAGTTAATTTTAGAAGAGTTTAGTTGAAGCCCAACTAAATCAGCACTGGAAACAAAAGAAAACATCCTTTCAAATTGACTTTTGTTTTCTGAGTGCCATAAATAGTAGCATTGATTTTTGACTTTGTGTTTGTTATAAACCAGTTGCATTCACAATATTATTAGCCTGAGATATTGATGAGATTGTGATTATATGAAAATGTGTGTATTCCCTGTGTAACATCAGATTTGCAGGAAAATGAAGCACTTAACTGAAATTGTTGGTACTCTGAATAAATGAGCAAGTATTATAGTTTTATTTTTAGGGCCTAATGGGTTATATTGAATAGTTGGTTTTACCTCCTTAAGGTTTATTACCAATATGCATAAAACTTGACACATTAAAATCCCTACCCTTTGGTAAGTCCACTGTTATTTATTAAAATAAAAGTTCTTATGGGTGATTAATACATGTTTTTTTCCTAAATTAACAATAACTTAACTTTGAGTAATTTTAATATTAAATTTTTGTTAACAACTTATGTTTCCGTACACTTTTCTTTGAAGTTGATCTAGGTCTTAAAGGCAGGCATTTGGCAAAACTACCCTATATTGTGCAGAGGCAAGTAGGTTTATTTCTGATGAGTTTAGTGATGAGCCACTGTTAAGTGAAAATGCCAGTGTATTGGGGCTTTTCTTTTGCTCATTAACTTAAAAACATTGACCACTACATATTTCTGTAATGGTTCTCCTGTATGTTGGGGAAAGAGTTTGCCAACATTGAGTTAAATTTTTTATATGCCAAGTTCTGTATGCTAAAAGTTATTATGAAAGAGTGGGCTTTTTAGCATGGAACAGAAATAATCAAATTGTGGTATAAAATAAATATGAATTTATAGAATAGCATGTTGGTAAAATTTGATATGGAATGCAATGCCGAAGTATTAAAAAAAGAATCATAAAGTATATATTTTTCATGGTATACTTTTCCTCAGTCATTTGTCTTGAGATATATTTTTCCTATAGCCTAAATTTGCCTGAGATTTCATCATCATAAAATTGTTTTTTCCCTCTTCTAAACCCAAAGAATTTAAATCTTACAGATCAGAACTTGTTATGTATTCGAAATACATTGTTGTGTTAAGTGAAATATAATAGTTTGGGAAATTTTCATCAATGTTAAATTCTGCATAGTTTAATTATTTTAAAGGGCTAGACAGAGTTTTAACAAGGTAAATTTTTATTATTAGGCTAGCAAATACAGTTGCTAGCTATTAAGATAAAAGTACATAAATATTACAGCTTGAGATATCAAAGGAAGAATGCTCTTATTTTGGGAGAGGGGAAGGTTGGCAATTATGAAAGTCTTATAGAAAAGATAAGTCTTGAAAGATGAATGAGTAGACATCAGATGGTCAGAGAGGACAAAGGAATTCTAGGCATAGGAGTATGAAGGGGCACAGTGCCTCTACAGTATTGCAAGTGGTCCATGTGAAAAGGGAATTAGAGAAGCTGAAGCTGAAGCGGCAGATGGGCCAGGCCAGATTATGAAGGTTCTTGTATGCCATATTAGTCTTCATCTTGTGGGGTTTTTTTTTAAGTGGTTACTTAATGCATCTAGATTGAATAATTTGATTAGATACCAATTTTAGAAAGATCATTGGTACTATAGAGAGAATAAACTGGGTAAGTTGGAGATTAAAAAGCAGGGAGGTTTGAGATAGTCCAGGCAAAAAATGGGAACCAGACAACAGAATGTTGATGGAGTTGAGAAAAAAACTAATGGATATGAGAGTTGTTAAAAAGGTTGAACAGCCCTGGCTGGTGTTGCTTGGTGGTTAGAACATTGGCACTTGTACCAAAGGGTCAGAAGTTTGATTCCTGGTCAAGGGCATGTACCTGAGTTGCAGATTTGATCCCCACCCAGGTCGGGAGTGCTCCGGAAGGCAACCAATTGATCTGAGTCACATCCGTGTTTCTCTCTCCCTCTCCACCCCCCTTCCCTTTCTCCATTTTCTTAAAGTCAATGGAAAAATATTCTTCGGTGAGGATTAATAACAACAAATAGTAGAGCAGTAAAGCAGCCTTTTTCAAAATCTATTGTAGTGAGACACCAGAGGGTTGGAAGGTGAAGTCTGTGTCAGAGCTTTTTTAATATTTAAGTATATACCATTTAATTAGTGTTCTAAGGAGCACACTTTGGGGAAATGATCTAAAATGGCATTTATTCAGCCAGGACTGATAATCAGGTATGCATCAATGTGGCTTCAGTAGCTGTTTACAAATGATGGTGATTCTGACTGGTCAGTTTGTCCATTCCAATTGATTGAATGTATTGCTCATTGATGTTTTTAATATCCTACGTTTAAATATTTATTTAATGTCAACTAAGTGCACTTTGTTTAAAATCTAATCTTACTGAAAGTCCCTGCCAATCTCTCCAAACACATACTTCCCATTTTCCTGATGTTTCCATGTCTTTGAACACACATTGAACTTCTTCCACCATCTCAAGGCCTTGCTTGACTCATATTGTCTCATATGTCTAGAATGCTTATTTCTATATTTGTATGGCTTATTCCTTATCCATCAATTCTCGACTTAAATGCCACCTCATCAGAGAAGCATCCGAATCACTCAGTTTCACATACCTATTCTCTATAAATGTTTTTAATTTTTATATTTACTTGTTTATTATCTTTTCTCACAGCACTATCATTCAAGGAACAAAATGATTTGTTTTCTAATGGCCTTGCTCAAGCAAGGTGCCTTTCATTATGCTTCCCATAAATGGGAGCTCTATACCATGTTACTTTTAAAACCTGTTACTTCCAGATCTTGGATTCAAGATTCCTTTTCTCCAACCACAAATTTTTTCCAGCTCACCCTGAGTTACCTCCACTAAAAAGACTATCACAACTAATCATTGAAAGCTACCACTACCACGTGCTTATTTGTCAGCTTACTCCTGTCCTCTGCTTGTTTAGTTTAGAGACTAGATCCCAGTGTTATACATACTGCTTTGCAAATATTCTGTGACCATGCCATTCTGTCACGGTCTAGAAAAAAATTCAATCTTGAGCAGTTGAATGGGAGAGAATTATTACACCAAGCAGGTTTATCTAAAAACTGCCTGATGGTTTTTCTAGTTTTATTGTAACTAACTTCCACAAACTTAAATGATTTAAATACTCTTTCACTCAATATTCCCACTCTCTTCATCTGAATATCTTTAGTCACATTTTGCTGAGAAAATACAAAAATTTCTCAACTTTTTAACCAAATTTATGAACTCATCTATTTTTGTGCTATCTTATACTTACTAAAAACCAACCCCTCCCCAAGTGGTCTGGATTCCATCCACCCTCACCTTCTCAAAAACAATTAACTACTCATGTTTCATCAACCTTCTTTTACTAGATCCTTTCTAACAGATTATAAATATTCCCTAGCTACTATCCTTGAAAGAAGGGGCTGCCAATTATTTGGTTCCTGTCATAGAAGGTTGCCTAGTCAGACAACCCCAGTTCTTCACTTCTGATTTACTACGATTTTATATGCCCCTGCAACTCCTGAAATTGCTCTCATCAGAATCACCAATCTCTTCCATGGTGCCTATCTGTTGGTTGGTTTTTCTGCCCTCATTCACTGCCTGAGTTGCATTCAATAGAGTTGATGACTTCCTCTTTGAAATACTGTTTTCTTGATGTTTTCTCTTTACCCTTCCTGGCTGCTCCATCACTGACTCCAATCCTAGTACCTGACCTTTGGTTCATTGTGTATGTC